TGAAGAGTTCAAGAGCTACAAAAAAACAAATTTCTTCAGTATCCACAGCCTTAACAGTATATTTGATCCCACTGTACTCAAATTGCAGTAAAAACCCAACATTTGGTATTGTGAGAAAGCACAAGAAAACCTTTTCCTGATGCATTACTGGGTCAAATTCAGCAGGCTCGTTTTGATGTTGCTTCACTTCTTGTATCAAACTGAAGAACTGATACCATGACAACACCACAGAATTGAAGCATCTACCTTTATGCCATCCTCAGTAATACATTAGGTCCTTGACTTTCAATAATTCTGAAGCTGCTTTGTTCATTGCATCCTACTCAAACAACTGAACGAGTAATAACAGACTTTAAAGTAATACATTAAATCAACAGCTATTTAAGAGGCTAGGAATACTGGATTGATGTTGATAATACTCTAAATAGTTTAACTGGATTAGATTATAGAACTAACAAATTTACCATATTAACTAAGTTGCAGCCATTTAGTCCAAAGAACTCTGAACAGTCCTATAGAAATATAGGAACATGTTCTCCAAGAACAAGTCCAGGAACATCATAGATGCAGAAATACACATGTATGTCTCTGCTCAGCATCTACTTAAGTTCAAGCTGCCTGCTATCAATGCCTTTTTCTCCGCTTCACATTAGACATTACCACACTGCAGAACTCCAGTTTTAGAATAGCCATAACCCAATTCTTCACTGAAGGCCATATATTAGCCATACTATTGTGTTGTGCAAGTTTTATTAATTCTAGAATGAAGGAATTGCATTGCAGAGATCTGAAGAGAATCACCTGCATTAGTCTGTTTCAGAGTAGTTCTATTTAGAACAAGATTTTTCTCTGGAGTAAAGATTGACTAGAAAGACCAAATATGGCTGATCTTAGGACAGCATTGCTTTCCTGTAACAGTGCATATGTTGAGAGATATTTATTAGCAGTGGAACAGATTGAAGATTTGCCCAAGTCAAGGGAACAGATAGCTATATCAATACTGTAAATCCTCAACCCTTAACTAGGTTGTTCCAAAACTGAGACCACTTGTGCTCAGAAACAAGCTCACAAGGGTATCACATCATGCACCTGTCTTTGGTCCTTTTCCTCCTACCTGCTAAGCATTTGTGGAGAACTTTGAAGTAGGCATTGAATTCTAATGTTCAGTTTCAGAAAAGGGATATTCACTTCTTATGCTTCAAATGAAAACTCCCAATAATTCACTGTTTGGTCATTAGAGGGCAAAGGCATCTTGCCTTTAAAAACCCAGACAAACAACTCTGCCTACAGAAGGTTGCCTGAAATATGGGAAGCTAGTTAGTTACTTGTCAGGTATCTAAGGTCACACACAATCATTACAATACTCCATTAAAGTACAAAGGTTAGATTTATCACTAGGGTAAAGGATTCAGAGTTGCCTGAGCACTGATGTTTTGTTTTAACTGGAGGCATTTCTTATGCAGGATGCAGCACAGCAAAAATCCTCAAACCTATAAGAAACCAGGCAAAGAGGTGAACCAGGAAGACATCAGTAGAATGAAACAGAAAAAATTCCTTTTCAAAGCTATATTCCTCCTCTCAACTGGTGAAATACAAGTAATTTGAACTGGTAAGGATCAGAGGCAATACCGCAGCTAAACATTGCAATATCTCTCCTCAAAGTCTAGGAAAATTTACAGTCTAGGAATTGTCCACTACTACTGAAGTAACCTTTGCATTTAATTTTATCTGTGGAAGAAGCATGGGCACAGCTAGTCTGCCATAGCTGAGACACAGCTTAATGTTGCTGAGATCATAGTTTGTGCTGTCTGCAACATGGTTAGTTGACCACAGAGGCACACTTCACACTATTTCAGGTGGAAGTAGCTTGCATATTAAAGCCTGTCCATGACAGACAATGGGCAAAATGCTTTAAATACACCAGAGCATAAAGTTTATGTGAGAATAACTTTAAGGACACATGCTTTCTGTGTGCAGTTCACCATCTACAACACACTTGTACCTCAATCTACTCATGTATCAAAACTGATCTGCTGTTTGTCATCGGAATGATTGCCAGTCAAAAGCAGAGGTGGACGGAGTGATCTCCTATATATGCTTATTCCTAATACATGAAATAGGTCCTTCATTTCTCCCACTATCTTAATCATGATTGCCAAACAGAACCAATGTTTTTGGAAGTGTAAAAATCAGTAGTTAAAGTAAAAAAGTAATGAAAGGCTCTATGCATTTTGCATGGAGAGCTCAGTCCCCATAGTACTCAGTAAAAAGTTAGCCTAGAACAAGTAGTAATTAAGACATTCAAAAAAACCACAAGAATTTCAGCTCAGTTGTGCTTGATGTTTCACCTCAGTTACTTTAGTCTTCCTTTCTAAGATATGTACAGATGCTGAGGGTAAGAGCATTGAGTAAAATATTCTTCTTTACATCCAAGAACCCACAAAGATGACATACAACTTATCGAAACTGAGTATTATAATCAGAAGTCATGTATTTCCAAGCTCAATTATTTCTGAGCACAGAAGCATACTGCAATTGAGCAGAGTAATACCTATGAACAGTTTGTGCTCAAGAAAAAATAAAATTCAGTGAGGTAATAAGGAAATTACACTTTAGCAATAAATTCAAGACCATTTGCAAGTGTTGCTTGAAACTTGTTTCACTTCTACACGAGTACAAACAGGCAGCACAATACGTAGAACAGAACTTAAGAAATACAGCAACCACTGTGGAAGCTACCGTAATGCATCAATTAAACAAGTTTACAGTGCAAATTTGTTCCAGATTCAAAGAAAAATGTGGAAGTCCAGCAAGGCAGCCATAAATGCTCACTCTGCAGTTATCAAGTATTTAACTCCACTAAGGCTTTCGAATATTTAGAGACTGATTGTCCGTAATTTAGCAGTACCATCTGCTTTCCCATTCCCAAGACAATACCCTCTTTGGCATTATAGAGTAGCCTGGAAATGTCACTTTCTTTGAGCCACAAGAGAACTTGAATAGGAGACACTAGCTCACTAGCTCCTAATGGAAAGAGGCCTGTGAGCAAGCCTCAAGTGATAGTTACACACTTCAGTCTGGTATTTTTACAGAAACAAACACAACTGACAACCAAGCCTTCCTGTTTAAGACTATATTCCACTATGGTGTATTAGCAAGCCCTTTTTCAAGGCCACAATCTGCCTAGTTTTTTCTGAATTAACTATTAAGTACAACATGTTGAAGTGCTACCTAGTGAAGTGGACAAAGAATGCTAAGAGCAACACTCTAGATAACCAACCAGCTTCAATTTAAGATGGACTTTCACAATGCTTAAATTTACTCTTCCACTGTGCAGAAGTGTCACATCCCATCCATCATGTATGTGATGAACTTGAGCTTTCAAGGGGACATCAGAAACCAAGTATTTGTCTCCTAGGTTCCACCACCACGGAGTTGATACTTTTCTAGACAAAAAGTTGCTTACATCTTCTAGATTCAATACTTCAACAGGTGTAGATGTTCCCAAGTTAAATATTACATTTCCTACTCAGTCACCTCTGCTAAAGGAGCTCTTCAAGCAGTCCTTATTAAGACAAGACTAAGACTCCCTGGGAAGAGGAAGAAATGTCTCATTCCACTGGAAAAAAATAATTTTGCTACGTTGGATACATTTTTTTTTACATGAAAGTAAATACCAAGTATTTGGTCTGCCCAGGATTTCATTGATAAAGCTAAAATAAGTTCTCCTAGAACTGTAATTAAATTTAGCAGCAGCTGAAAACCAACACTGAAAATATCTGCTGTTTCCAGTAAATTTGTAAATGTTGTCTCTGACCAGAAGCAACAGAAACTTGCACACTTACCTGAGCATCCAGACTTCTAAATATACTTTATGGTATATGCAAGCAAAGAAAACTATGTCCTAGCTCATTTCACATTTGCATTCCACATGTGCTTGCAAAGAATTGAACTGGTGTCAAAACAAGGAAAAATTTAGTCTCATTTGGCAGACCTCTGACAAGTAGACTGATATTACACATGCCACTACTTTTATTTTGGTCCATATTGTGTTTGTGCTATATTTACTACTAGAAAATTGATCAAATACAAGTTTACTGACTGAAGTGTACAGTCTTGCATTGTAGATGCTTACTAGCAGTTAAGAGATATACTTTAGCAGCATGCAAATTAAGCTGCAAAAGCCACTGCTATTTGAGCTAATTAGTTCATTCCTGATTCTAATCTCATGAGGGTTAAAAACATCTGCTCTGAAACAATCATAAAACTATTTAACTAAGATAAGCAAACTTAAGTTCATACAGCCAAGTAAAAGTCTAGATCTTTCTGGCTAGTACATCTTCTGAATGGCCAAGACATCTTCTCAATGCCAACAAAATAGCATGAAAGCTCTAGTGGCCCATGTTAGTTAAAAAGGCAAAAATATAAAGACTTAAGGTTCCGTTCAAAATTAAGGCCCCTGGTCAGTTGAGAGCAATTCTGCTCACCTTAACTAGCTGGCCAGATAAACTGGCCCTATTCTTTAGAGCCCTACCTATAAAGCAAAAACATCTGTTAAGACACTGCTGTTTCATTCAGTGAAATAAGAACAGTTTTCCCCCACCACAAAAGCAGAACAATTACAATGAAGACTAGTTTCACTAAATATCAAGTTATCTGCCAGATTGCTTTGGTTGAAAAGCTCCACAAGGATAAAGCCTCAATGCAGAAGTAATACTTGATTCTCCATTGATGGATTAAGATGGGCTTAGAGGCAGGAAAGGTCAAAGTTATGAATAGTGCCTTTTTCTTACAGGAATACATTGAAACTAAATTCTAATCTGTACGTAAGTACTGAAGCAGTGACTAACTTGAAGTTAAACTTCTCCTCAATGTATGAATTTAGTATTAAAACATTAAAGAGTGAAGACTTCATGTTTATCTTCACAAGTACAGTCTGATATCTACAAGCATATGAATAAACAGTTGAAATATGCCCAGGAATATGAATAGCAACTTACTGTGTAAGTGATGGCTGCCAACATTCCGATCACGGTCAAGGAACTAATGGAAAATGAAAGAGCAGTCAAGCCATCTGAAAGAAAAAGTAAGGTGTGTTGAAAGTTCCCAAAGAATATTGCTTCCTACATTACTTTCCTATAGATATTTAAGAGCTAAACTCATTATGCTCATAGAAAACATCTAGAGTTGCAATTACCTACTAATGAGTGAGACAATTCACATAAAACTCCATAGTATGTGCAGAGGCTACATAGACTTTCACAAAACAAGTATGGTGTCAGTAGTCAGAATCAAAATGCATTTCCACATCATTTCTGAAGAACTAAGCTTATCTACCAGATACAAGAGCAATCCAATCTCCAGTCACTCCTTACCACCAGCAGAATTCCTCTTCTACTTCCAAGTGACAGAATACAGGGATTTAAGAGACAAAAAGCAATTAATTCACCCTACAAGACAAAAGGGCAATCTGTTCAGCTCCCTGAACTAATTCACCACATTCTCTTGACCCAGCTCTGGAAGTCAGCAGTGGCAGGGAGAGCTATGGCAGCCAGTCACTGCCACTGCCTGGATTTAAGTGAATGGACTTCCCCTCCCAAATAGGGGTTCCACTCTAATTACATAACAGAAGGACACAAGTCCAGAGGAGCTCACTGCAAAGACTGAAGTTATACTGAGTTACTTTAAGTGACAAAACTCCCAGCAAGAAAACCAGTGTCCGTAACATTGACTAATCACTTTTACTGTTACCACAGAAGGGCTTTTGATTAAAGATTACTTTCCTAAAAGGCCTATGGAAGCCTGGAGAGAAAAACACAAGCATTATTGAGAGACCTGAGGAACCTAAGGCCAGCACATATTATCAAGACCATATTATCACCAGAGCAACCATACCAACTCAGTTAAAAGTAATCCCTTGAGCACTGATTTCTACAATGCCAGCAGCAGATGCTCCTCCAGAAGAAGAAACACTAGTCTGAGATGTTTCTAGATGCCGCAAGGGATCATACAGGTGTTGATGAATCTAACTCCAGTAACTGCCTAACACCTCTTCAGGACTTATTGACCTGCACAAGATACTGACAATACCTTCCATAACTCAAGCATGCATTGGGGAAGGTGGACCTTGCTCATTTATCTGCTGCTGTTTTATAGCAGAGTGGATCAGGCAAGCATAGAACTCAGACCAAGCAGGCAATAGACCATAGGCCTCAGCTTGCATCAGACCATATATCCAAGCAGAAGCTAGAAAAAAGGCTTATATTAGGTCAGGAGCCTGAGGAGTTACAATTTCTAAGCTGGACAGCAAGGTTGTAGTAGGACAGTAGGACAAACCTTTTAAACTCATCCCTGGAGGCACACTAACCCTCCTGCAGCTTTGTTCAGGAGTCCTATCTAAACCTACCTTGCAGAACAGCTCAGCAAGCCTCCTTGAACTCACTAGTTCAGCAGTGCTATGCTAACACTCATTATAGCAATTTACATCAAGAAATCACTTGCATGTTTGTAGTCATCCACAGTAACTGAACTGAGCCACTGAAATATGCTACCCCACATCCTCCCTTCTCTCTAGGACAAGGATTTAAGGAAAGTGACTTTTTTCCTATTCACACCAGAATTAGTGTTCATTTTTTCCCCGATCATGACATTGGGCACTCAGTTTTAAGACAATGAAGTGCTTCAAAATCAGGACATCCACCTTAAGAAACGAATAGGTAGAGCAAATCCACCTATTTCCGGTCTTACATAGCAAAAAGATAGTAAAGTGGACTTTTTCCACCATGCCAAACTCAATATGTATACAGTACCACTACAGGAGCTAAACTTGATATTAAACTGAAGTTGCAAAGAATGCTAGCTTTATACAAAAATAAAGAAAAGTCCAAGTAGGAATATTTTAGCAAGCACTAAACTTAGCTGCCTATTCAGATACTGCATAGGCATATAAATTAGTGATTTCAAGCAAGATATACCTGTTCTAAGGGCCCTTAGAATTCCTGTGTCCAAACAGAGAGAGCTATTTATGGGGTGTTCTCATTCTTATAAGAAGTGGTATCTCACTCAATCTTTAAAGAAGCACTTCTCTATTTTTCATATCACAAGACACTCACTGTATGGAACTTCATTACTCTTGGGTACCCACATAACTCTGCAAAGCTGTCCTAAATAAGGGCTCATGGAAGAAAGTGCAAACCACCTCCCAAGCCCTTCATTGCTGGTATCAAGGACACAGCTTTGTCATCCTTACTGTCAAATTAACACTGCACTGAAGGTTAGACACAGCCAGTCTCTTTTCTCTGAAGAGAAGGAAAACAGTCTTATTCCAGAAAAATTGCAAGCAAGCAGCTAAGAATCAAATTAGAGCTACCTAGTTTTCAGAAGTTATTTTTCTTGCTATTAATCAATGATAAGGATGCCCAAATAAATCTGAAAGTGCAGGACAAATCTCACACTTACGACTACTTCCAAATTCTTCAAACAGTAACTTCACTTTCTCCCACTCTGTGGAATTCTTCTTGTAGGGAATGTCCAAAGGAACAAAAGCACTGTAACAAAAGAGTAAGATTCACTTATTTACATTAGTCAAGTGTCAGATATTGTGCTTACATACTAAGGAAACAACCATCCATTTATTGTCGAAGAAAAATCATCTGCATAAGTTCACAAAAAATCTAGAAGTAGTATCACCTTTAATTTACATTCCTCAAACTATGTGCGCAGTTTGGTTTGTGCTCAATGAATTAACAGCTTTCTGTTTACCAGTTTTAAGAAGTAAGTATCCTGCATTCTAGTTTCATTACAAGATATTATTTTTATTTACTAACCTGGTTAATTCATGGGTCAGAGAATCAAAAAGTACCAAGACTAAGAGGCATTAAAGACTAATCAGGTTTTGTAAACTGACACTTCTGGAAGCTAGAATAAAATAACTCAAGAGATCCACACTAAGCATTTGATTGAAGATTTAAAAAACATGTTCATAATTACAGATTAGGGACAAGTTTTCTGCATCCAGCTCCTTGTTTGGCAGTTGTTCTGAGAAAACCAAACTGCAGAGAAAGAAAACTTCAAAAAGTATCTGACCTTCCAATGAGCAGAGATTTTAAGGGCTTTGAAAAACATCAAGTACAGCCTCTTGGCTGAAGGCTTCCTGTTGTCAGTTGTCTTATCTCAAGTTGAACACAAGATCCTTCAACTTATCAGGATCTCAGAAAAGCTTATGTTGAGCAGACAGAAAACAAACAACAAAAACAGTTTCTGGACATAACATAAGAATGCCTACTACCTCCAAGACACAGAAGGTCACAAAGGGAACTTTATAATGCAAGAACTCAGCGTAAAAGCCACAAAGAACAAACACAAGTCTTTTGGACTTCTATAAGAAAGGGTACACAGATTCCAATTCCAGATTCACACCCCAGTAAATAACTGGCACCTTCCTGGAGTATGCACTACATTTCAAGCACAGAACATAGGCTTGCATTTCAGAGGTTAGGGCAAGACCACAAAGCAGGAGCATTTTTTAATTTTAGCATGTCAACAACAAGATGGTTGCCTGCAAGCCAATTTAAGAGACCCTGTTCTTAAACACCAACTTAAGTTTTGTTTTTAGGTTCTTGATAGCACAAGAGGTAGATTAACACTAGTATTTACTGAAATTGAAGCTTGTTCGATGGTTTTAACCAAAAATGTTTTATTGATTTTTAGAATGCATAGTACAATATTCTTTCTGTATTCTCTACTCTTTCTGTAGGACAACATTAAGGCAAGATCAAAACAGTTACTAGAACTCAGGCAAAACTGTTCTTCTCTTGTAGATAAGTGACTGTTTACATTTTTACAAGGTTAAAAACTTGGATACTAGCAAGCTTATGAAGTCCTTTTACTTTAGAATCCATATGGATTCTCCATACACAGTGAACAAATGAAATGGAGCAGCACCTTAGAATATTTAGTTAGTTTTTACTAGAAAAGCTCCCGAATTAAAATAATTTTTGTTGACAATATCTATAAACAAGCTCTCAAAGGACAATAAGCACAGCAGAAGCCAGAGCAAACATTATGCATGTTTTGCAACTAGCATCCAGTTACACGGAGACTAAAGGAGATGAGCAGAACAGGACAGACAGATGGGCAAGTTCCATGCACCAAGGGCCTCATGCAAGAGCACAGAACATACAGAAGACAGTACAATCCATATAAGGATCTAAAGAATTTCCAGCTCAGTGTCATGATGAACATATTAAAACTACTTCTCCACAGGTGGTTTTCAAATAGCAGCCAATAGTGTTCAACCACCAACTTTGTTCAAGTACTGCAGCTACCTGCAGTCAGTCTCACTGATGGAGCAGAACATCAATAGGGT